CTCAGGTTTACTTGGATAACCAAATTTTTGAAGAAGATGGACAATTAGTCATCCGTTGGGATCATGTAGAAAATTTATTTCCCACGTCGATGATTGATGATATGCAAAGTGTGTTCATTGATCTTATTACACGACTAGCCACATCAAGTGAGATGTGGCAAGAGTCAATTTCTATATTATTACCAGTTGGACAATTACAAAGACGATTCATTTTCACCGAAACAAAATGGACGTCTAGGATGGAAACACAACTACTTCACACTTTAGTTATTGATCAAGCACAACAAACGCCTAATACTTGGGCAGTTATATCATCGCAAGAAAATCTAACGTACGAACAATTAATGAATCGTGTTTATTCATTAGCATACCATTTGCAACAACAGCATGAAATAAACTCCAATCAACCTATTGCTATTCTCATGAAAAAAGGTTGGGAACAGATTGTGGCTTGTTTAGCTATCTTAGTTTCAGGTGGTGCTTATTTACCTTTGGATGTTGACTCACCCTATGGTCGTCTCTGTTCATTAATCGAAGAAACTAATGTCACAATTCTTCTTACACAATCTCATTGTCAACATGCATTTCCACATCTAACCACTATTTCAGTTGATACACTCACAACTAATGACAATTATCCAACACCTTTTCCTATCAAACAACAATCATCAACAGATTTAGCTTATGTTATTTATACATCTGGATCAACTGGAAAACCAAAAGGTGTTATGATTAGTCATCAAGCTGTTGTAAATACTATTCTTGATATGAATTCAAGATTAGAAATCTCAACTAATGATAGAATATTTGCATTATCACATCTCAATTTTGATTTATCAGTTTATGATATCTTTGGAATATTAATTGCTGGTGGAACTATAGTAATTCCAGATCATGAAGATTATAAAAATCCTCAACACTGGTATGATATGATAATTAAACATCATGTCACTATTTGGAATAGTGTTCCAATGTTAATGCAAATGTTTGTTGAACATCTTAAACATACAAGTAATCATAATCAATTACGACATATCTTATTAAGTGGTGATTGGATACCATTATCTTTACCTCAATCAATACAAACAACATTTGGTGAACAAGCAACAATAACTAGCTTAGGTGGTGCAACAGAAGCATCTATCTGGTCAATTGCATATACTTTACCAAAAGAAATACCACGAGAATGGAAATCAATTCCTTATGGAATACCATTAAGAAATCAACAATATTATGTTTATGATCTACATCTTGATGATTGTCCTGAATGGGTCATTGGTGAATTATATATTGGTGGTGTAGGTTTAGCTAATGGCTACTGGAATGACCAAGAAAAAACACAATCAAGTTTTATTATTCATCCATTAACTAATGAACGTCTCTATCGAACAGGTGATTATGGTCGATTTCTACCAGATGGATATATTGAATTTATGGGACGAAAAGATTTTCAAGTAAAAGTACATGGTCATCGTATTGAACTTGGTGAAATTGAACATCATTTACAACAACATCCAGATGTTCATCAAGCTATTGTTAATATTGATGACAAATCTCAACAGTTAATTGCATATGTTATGTCAGAAAAATATTCTATTCATAATGAACAATATGATCCTACAGAGACGTCAATCGTTGATCCTATTGAACGTGTCAATTTCAAGCTTGCAAGACATAGTATAAGAGATCAAAAGAAGGTAGAAAAGAGCTTTGCTCTAACAAAACCAAAGATTACAGAATCATTAATTAATACATATTATATGAGAAAAAGTTATCGACAATTTACGACTGAAATTATTGAAAGATCTACTATCGAAAAGTTGTTAAAAGACTGTCACAATAGCAATAATCACGAGAAAATATCTTTATCATACCTCGGTTTTGATATTCTTAGTCAATTATTAGCAGTATTAACACCGATCAATATTTCTGATCAACCTTTACCAAAATATCGTTATACGTCAATTGACGATCTTTATCCAGTACAAGTATATGTTGAATTACCAACATCTATAGATAATATTTTGCCTGGTGTTTACTATCATAATCCAGATGAACATCGTCTAGAACTAATTAGTACTCATATCAATAATGACATGATGAATATAAGATTACATCTTGTTGGACGATCATCAACAATTGCACCGCTATATGGTAAAAGATTGGGTTCTCAATTTTGTATCCTAGAAACAGGATATATTATGGGATTGTTGGAAAAAGAACGGTTAAGACTGGGATTGACATTTTCAAAAAATATTCATAACGAATCTATAACTTGTGATATTTTGAATATAGATGAGAATGATACTCATTGTTGTTTCCAACTTTCATCATTTGAGGAAAATATTTCTAACAATGTACAAAATGACAATTATCAATGTGTTATTTATCTAAAATCGGTCAACAATAACAAAGACCAGTGGTTTATTTATAATAAAGAAAATGATATTGTTACACCTTTTGATATCGAAACTGCAACTACACAAGAGGAAATACCACTGCTCTTTGATGATGATAATGATACGAAGATTATATTCCATGATTGTCAAGGTGCAATCTTCTTCACCGGACGATCAGAATGCACAATGAATATAGGAAAGATGTCACATTTATTAATGGATCATTGTCTAGAAATGAATATCGGTATGTGTCCAATTGGCACTCGTACGAGTTTTCCAAAACAAATTAATGATATATTAGATACTATTCTTATTCAAGAGAAATTAAATGGAAGTAACATATTACATACATTACTTATTGGAAAGATTAGTAATAAACAAAAACGTGAACACACTATTTCAAAAGTAAAATCAATGCCCAGCGGGAGTGAAACATTACGAATATATCTGAGGAAACAGCTTCCAATTTATATGGTACCATCACATTTTATAAGTGTTTCATCGTTTCCGTTAAGTTCAAATGGTAAAATCGATCGAAAAGCTTTACCAGAAATATCACGATCAGTGCTTCAACAAGAAGATACCTATAATGCACCAAATACTGAATTAGAGAAGACAATTGCGAATATTTGGCAAGAAATATTATACACAAATCGACTTACTATACATCATGATGATCCAGCTATAAATGTCTCTGGTATAGACAGACAAACATCTTTTCTTATATCTACTACAACTAGTTTCTTCAGCGTTGGCGGCAATTCTCTTTTACTTGTTAATATCTATCAACGTTATCAATCGAAATTTAATTTTGAAAGAGAAGCATTGAGTATTCGATCTTTGTTTGACTATAACACTATAATGGAACACGCAAAACTACTTGAAACAGTCATTATTGATGGCGCACCACTAGAACAATGGCATACGCTACATATTAATGAAGGTAAGATAGTTTTAATTTCCTTTTTCAATAGCTAAAAATATTATTTTCATAAATTTTTAGGTATCGCATCGTATGCTCAAGAACGCATATTTCTTGATGAACAAGTTCGTTTTACTAACCAAATTGCCATTTACAATGAGCTGCTAGTCCAAAGAGTGGAGAAAGGCTTCTTATCAGTGAATCGTTTATTACAAGCTCTTCGCTATGTCCTACGCAAACATAAGATATTAAGAACTTCTCTAGTTTTCAACGATGATGATAGTATTTTAAAACAATATGTGACTGATAAACATCTGACATTTACATTGGCCGCCGATCAAATATTTCAAGATGAAAATGAACTTCAGAACATTATTTATCAAATGACCATCAATCCTACACTCTTTGATTTATCAACTGGTCGTGTTTTTTATTGTCAAATTCTTAGACAAAAGACGACACCTGATAAAAATCATGACAAAGAGATTATTACAAATTCTGATGTTCTCGCTATCGGCTTTCATCATGTTGCAATTGACCATTCAACTTTCCCAATTTTTTTCAACGATCTATGGAATATTTACAATAGTCACGTGACGTGGTTAGATGATGAAGAATCGTTACAATATATTGATTATGCTGTCCATGAACGTCTCATCGATATGACGATGTCACGTGAGTTTTGGCGTTTACAACTCGAAGGATGTAACTTGAAACGTCAATTGTCATTACCAATTGATAAGCATTTTTTATCTAATAATAGACGATCTGGTTTTGCTTCTATCAAGCAAATCACTTTTGACAGAAAAATATCCTCATCATTTCTTAATTATGCTTCTTTACATCATTTGACACTATTTCAACTCGGATTGGCCACATTCTATACGTTTTTATTCAAGTTAACATATAGTCAAACTGATTTATGTATCTCATGTCTTCACGCTAACCGATACAAATCTGAATTACAGACTATGATAGGAATGTTTGCTTCAATATTACCATATTGTATGCAACTTGATCCCTGCTGGTCATTTCATGAAGTTACTAAACATGTACCAGAAAAATGTTTATCAATTCTTGAACATTCTCATTATCCACTTCAACATATTCTTCGTGATCTTCATCTTAATCAATCAACTGTTCCTTTTCTTCAAACAGTTTTTGATTTCATGACTGAATCTTCAGTTAGTGATCAGTTTACTTTCGATGATGTTAGTTTACAGCCAGTATCATTAAAAGAGGTTCCGGATTTGCCTAAATTTGATTTTACGTTGACATTTTGTTACGACCCAATCTCGGATGACAACATATTATCATGTCGTTTAACTTGTTCACGTGATCTATTTGAAGATACGACAGCTACAAAAATGATACAAAGATTTCAATATCTTTTTGAACAACTTTTTTCAGCGAATTTTAATATTAATCAAAATGATTTAGCAGTTTCACCTATTGCCATACTTACCATTATCTTACCAGATGAAGTGAATGAAATGCAACATGCAGCTTTTTACCATCAATCAAATGTAATGAATGAAGGTATGTCTTTTTGCTATTTATCATGTATACATAATACTTTTATTGATATAAATTAGTGAGATGAGAGAGATATGTATGATATGCTTAAATATTATATTTTCAAAGTTAAAAGTATCGATTGATTTGTGTTTGTTCAAGAAACATAACGTTAGTCTGTTTTTTTAATACACAATGAAAATATATAATATGAAAAGGTCTTAATCTTCAATGTCAAATCCTTTCAAAATGTTTTTTCAGATAGAATATTATATAGTATAAATAGATGAAGTTTAGTAGTAATGATAAGCATACGAATTGTGATTACAAAGGTGATAAGTTTTTGACATGATTGTTTCCGACTAGAATGCAAAGAATAATACGACAACTGACTGGGACATAGTTTAGTTTATAAAGTATTAAATAGTTTTTTTGAAATATTTATTTAGCTCTGAAGATAATGAGTAATATCAATATCGATGACAATTTCGTTATCTTGTAATAATTTAATTCTAGCATCATCAACTCTGTTTTTTTGCTGTAAATACCAATTAAAACAATAACATATTTTAGTGATGCTAATTTATCTTTTTTAATTAAGATTAGACACTGTTCAAGTGCAAATTGCTTTTTTACACTATATCTTGACAGTTTTTGGGTCAATCTATATTTATAATTTTAAATAAAACTAACCATTTTTTAGTAAAATATTTTTAAATATATGATGATAAATACAAGAATATGATCAATAGAAAACTATTTGACGTTTCGATAACTTAAGTGTCATATATGAGAAAATAAAAATCAACATCTACAATACAACATCAACATTTAATTAATTGTCTTTCTTTCACTTTATTTAATAATACAAAAATGAATTAAAAACAGATTTTACTTAAAATTATTTTTGTGTTCATAGTTTGGAAAATTAGCTATCTTAAACTACGGTACATTTTGTAGAAAATTTTTATTTGAAAATGTCTATATAAGGAGAAAATATAGGCGACGCAATTAACTACAAACAGCTATTATGACATCATAAAAAGTATTAAAGATATCAGTTGGTAAAAAGTGTATACTAATTTCTAATACAATTGTATTTTAAATGTCACTCTTTTCCAGTATTCAACGTTACTACGTGAAAATCTCAGTTTTCAAAAACAAATCTTTTCGTTTGTTCTTCGACTTTTTGAAACAAAACGGTAAATTTATCATTTTATGATGCTTGAAAAGCTCTAGCTAGCAGTCATATTTACGATTCTTCTACCGTCGAACATACATACCATCCTACTTAGTATTTTTACCATAGAGCATCGGTAAATATGGAAAGTAAAAAAAGTAGAATGAAATTTCTAATGTAGCCTTTTACTTTTCTAATTTGTAAATAAAACGCTCGTTACATATTCTGTAGAAAATTTCACGATTCACCTTTTAAAGAAAATCTGTCTTAATGTTGAATACAAATAAGTAACATTAGAAATGGATGGAATCAAAACTTACAACTTATCATAGATTCATCTATGAAATTTTCATGCTTTTAGCTACTAGAGAATCTCTAGTAGAGATTATGAATATTTGAAACAGTAATATTAACTGAATCATATAATTAAGTAAAGAGAGAAACTGAATAATGAGCTAGATTAATTGTAAAGATACATTTGTTGATAGGTGCACCTAGTTCGATTTTAATGAGTTTCTTTGTTATAGCACCAGCATCATTTGCACAAGCTCGTATTTTGCTTGATGAACGAATTCGATTCAATCCAGACCAGCCTCAAATAGCAATCTATAATATGCCTTTTGTTTATCGTCTCCAACCAGGTCATACTTTATCGATTAAACAACTACATCACGCTCTTTACCTCACTGTCGACAAACATCTCTCACTCCATACATCACTTCATTTTGATATTGAAAAGAATCTACTTATGCAACGAGCTATTATTCATGAGAATGAAAATAAAAATAATATGTTTTCAATCATCGAAACTACTTATGAAACAGATGAACAACTAAATGAGATTTTACACGATGAGAAACGTAATCCTCATCTTTTTGATCTTGCTCAAGGTCTTGTCTTCCGATGTCATATTATTTATTTCAAACAAATCTCTTCAACTCATTTTCTTTCCGATAAAGATATACTTATCTTTAATTTTCATCATGCTTTATTTGACTTTTCATCAATGGAAGTATTTCTTTATGATCTCAATCAAGCATATACAACAGGTCAATTATCACATGATGACAACACCAATCTACGTTATCTCGATTGTAAACACAAATAGTTCTTATCTTTTACCTAATACATTATTTTCTTTAATTACATAATAGATGCTGTTATTGAACAACAAATGTCAATGACTGGTGCAAGTATGTTTTGGCTTGATACTCTTCATGATTGTAAACTTGATCGACCTTTATCATTACCATATGATCGATATCGTCTCTCAAATGAACATCGGACTTTTCAGACAACATCTATTTCTTTTGATTTTGGTCAAGATCTCTCTCATGATCTTCTCATCCATGTATCATCAAATAACATATCTCTTCAACATTTCACATTTGCTGTTTACTTCATCTTTCTATTTAAACTAACTAATGGAGAAACAGATCTATGTCTGGCTATGATCATCAATAATAATCGATATAGAGATGAACTCAAGTCAATCATTGGACTGTTTCAGAATGTCATTCCGTTACGATGTCAGCTAGATCCTCACCGGTGTTTTCATCAATTGCTCAGACATGTTCAAGAGACAACAAGCAATAGTATGAAATATTCATATTTTCCACTTCAACATATTCTCGATCAACATCCACATATTTCAAAACATGCATTTCTCGATACATCACTAGAATTTCTATCATACGAGAATAATAATAAAGTGATGATTGGTGATTCTCAACTTCTTCCAGCATCTTTCTCATTCAACACTAATGAAGATGAGATATTAAGCGCATCCGACTTCTCTCTTTCTATCTATCATGATTTGAACATGGATCAACTATCATGTACAATCAATGCATCACTTGACTTGTTTAATATTGAGACAGTGGATAAGATTTCACAACGATTTCATTTCATGTTACATCAATTATCTGCATCTGTTATTGAAAATCAAATGAACAAACCTATCTATGAACTATCATTTACATTATCAAGTGAACAATATCTAATGCAATCATTGAATAATACACAAATATCATTTCCATCTTCTCCTTACACTTGTATTCATCATGAATTTGTATATCAAGTAATGAAACATCCACAAAAACTAGCTGTTGAATTAGATGAACAATCATTGACATATGCTGAACTTCTGTATTATGTCCAAGTATTATCTTTACATCTTATAAATAGATATGCTGTTGTTCCAGGTGAAATTATATGTCAGTGTGTCGAGAGAAGTTTGTCGATGGTAAGTAGTTCTTTCGGATTGGTGTTTAGTCTGATTGAGGCTTTCATATTCTATAGGTTATTGGTATGATGGCGATTGAAATGAGTGGTGGTATTTATTGTCCGTTATCACTTCATGATCCACAACATCGTCTGCATGCACTTGTAGAACAAACTGAAAGTCGTCTTGTTCTTGTTTATCATCAGACGAAAGTGAAGTTTATTGATAATAATATACTTCTTTATATTGATTCAATATTTACTGGCAAAGGACAAGAAGAAACAATCGATCTCGGTCGACTATCAGATATATCAGTGACACCCGATAGCATAGCTTACATCATTTTTACAAGTGGTTCAACAGGAATACCAAAAGCTGTGAGTTCGAAATCCATGGTACTTCCATATCATGATATAACTATATTTATTTGTAGGCTCAAATTCAACAGCGGAATGTCATTCAGTGTATGCATTCTATGGTTTCTATTGACGCAGTTAATGATAATGACATAGTTGTACAAATTGCACGCTGTTCGTTCGATGTTCATGTTCTTGATATCATAGGAACACTGATAATTGGTGGAACTTTGATTATGCTTCGCCCTGATGGAATTTTCGACCTTGACTATTTTACTTCCGTCTTAAAGAAAAAGCAAACCACTTATATTCAAGCTGTTCCAAGTCTACTCCGAACATTTTTCACATTTCTCAAAGAGAGTCATCCGTTAACGGCTGCTACATATTTCAGATCCATTTGTAGTAGTGGTGAGAGTTCTTCTAATTTAGTTTTATCTTCTAAATCTTCCCTCTATATTTTAGGTGAGCCTTTCACTGTAGATCTAATTAATTTATTAGGAAGCTATATCACAGAAACATGTAATATATGGAATTTATATGGTCCAGCAGAGACAATAATCTGTACATACCATTATGTTCAATCACTGACAAACAGAACAACAGTTCCGATTGGTCTGACAATGCCTAATTATCAATGTTTGGTCTTTGACCTACATCTGCAAAGTGTTATTATTCATCAGGAGGGTGAATTATATGTTGGGGGAGTAGGAGTGTTTGCAGGTTATCTTGAGCGTAACGATTTATCAGCAAAAGTGTTCATCAAAATTAATGATCATGTATTCTATCGAACAGGTGATCTTGTTCGAATGGACAATAAGGGATTGATACATTATGTTGGTAGAAAAGACTATCAGATAAAATTACATGGACAACGAATTGAACTTGGTGAAATCGAAAGATGTTTACTTAACATAACATCCATATCTGCTTGTGTTGTCATGAAATACAATGATGACTATTTAGTTGCTTATGTTCAATCTTCTTCTCAAATCAATGAAGAAGAACTACGTCAACATTGTCAATCTCATCTGCCACCACATATGATACCATCTTTTTTTATTATACTTGATAAACTACCTTTGAATTCAAATGGAAAAATAGATCGAAAACAGCTACCACCACCTAAGTTTTCATCGTCAACTGATAATATTGATGATAATGTGCCGCACACCACCTTAGAACAACAGTTACAAGATATATTTAGTCAAGCTTTTCATATTGAATCTCCTCATGTTGAAGTTCCTTTTGGTCAACTTGGTGGAACATCGCTGGGTGCTATTCTTACACTTACATTGATTCGTCAACAGGTATGCAACAAGGTTGACATTGGTCTTTTATTTACTAATCCATCTATTCGACAATTGGCTCAAGCTATAGAACCTTTGTTAGTTTTTGAAGAACTACAAGAGACAGCTTCCACAATCAATGAAATTCATGAAACAGATGTTTATCTGACACCTTCGTTTGTGATAGAATCTTTAGGTATTGCACTCCTTGTTTGCCAGTGGTTGTTGCCAATCATAATAATTCATCAATGGTGTCCACTTCTTTTTCCTATCTTACCAATATGTCATCTTTTATTCTATGTCATATGTTCACGTCTACTTTCACTGCAAAACATCAAAGATGACAATATTTTCTCTTGGAACTATTATCGTTGGTGGTTTTTAGATCGACTATGGAATAACAATACATTTTGGCTACAACATATACTTGGTACACCTTTGTACAATTGTTATCTTCGCCTTTGTGGTGCTCGGATAAATCTGAACGCACATATTTATACCGTTACTATTGATGCTCCATGGTTGTTAGATATCGGTGATGGAACTTGGATTGCTGATAAAACGACTCTAAACTCTTTATATTACAACGATGACTATACTTTTGCATTACATTCAATTCGAATTGGTTGCTATTGTTCAATCAGTGCCCGATCAATTCTGTTTGGTGGAGTTGATATGCAAGACAATATTACTGTTCAGCCTGTGTCATCAGTCAGTGGTTTTATCGCATCTCGAACGATTATCGATGGTGACGAACATAAATCGGTTCCATTAGACATTCCAGTCGCATATAATAACCGATCATTATCAATATGGCACAAAATCTATCAAGTTATTGTGCTCGTCTCATTGATCTGCATTCATTGTACCCTTTTAGCTATTGTCTACAAAGTTTATTCAGTTGAACAAATACCACTACCCATTAGTATTCCTTTTTGCTGGACTTTGTGGTCAATTATTGCTTGTTTTATCACTCTCTTTCTCTTGAAATTTGTAGTTGGTTCTTGTACTGCTGGTGAAACATATCCATTTGCATCATGGTCATATTTACATAAGGTGTGGCTTCGTCAATTAATTGTATCTAGTTTTCGTCATTCATGGTTACTACCAGCTGGATATAATTATCTCTATCCTTTTATTTTACGTTGGCTAGGTGCTCAAGTTGAAGATGATGTCAAACTTGCTAATATAGACATCTTCTTGTCCTATCCAACAAATCTATTAAAAATCGAAACAGGTGTCACTAGTTTTGCCAGGGTTTTATTAGTTCCTACTGAGATGACACTTGAGGGTGACCACCGTGTGAATTGTATAACATTCGGATCTCATACAAATCTTGGTAATGTGTGTTCAATTTTGCCGGGTAGTCATCTTGCATCTCATACTATGATTGGCACTTTAACGCGTATCACTCAAGAAACGAATAGTAACAATGGAGATGTTGTCTTTGGTGTTCCAGCTCGTGCTATGCCATTTCAAATGCCCATTAGAGAAACAATGGAAGATCCAATTACACCTATCCCATTTTGGAAGACATGTTTTTCTCATTATATTAGCAAATATCTTCTCATAGGTATCTATTGGTCATGTGGTCTAGTTAGCGGACCAATCATTCATACAATAATTGTATGCAGTTTATATCGATGGAACTCACATACACATAATGAAATAATAAGAAAACTACAAGAAGATTATGAATTGTTTATTTGTTCATTTCTTGGTAATACACAATGGCTAATTCGGCTATTTCGAATATATGGTGCGAATATCGGCAACAATGTGATTTTATCTGATGTTTATTCTATTTTTGATTACGATTTAGTGACAATTGGAGATCATGTTAAACTTAATATCAATGCTCAGATTGTGGTAATACATGCATTTTTTGTCATTTTTCATATATACATTATTGTTCTTTACAATCATTTCAGTGTCACACTTTTGAACAGCGTATTTGGAAAGTAGCTCCTGTTACAGTAGGCGACTCGTGTATACTTATGAGTGGATCAATTGTGATGTCGGGTTGTAAATTAATGGGCAACAATCGGCTTTATCCTTTTACACTCGTAATGAAAAATGATTTATTGCAACCGAATACACAATGGAAAGGACATCCTGCACGTAAGTCACTGAGATAGATGAAGCTATGCACACTTGTCTTTTATAATACTATTAAGATATTAGGTAATATTCTGCAAATTTCAGTTTGTTCATTATGATTTTTGAATATTTCTTTATCTACATTATTAAAAACATGACTTTCATGATGATTTCTAAATACCTTGTAATGATATATCCCTATTTGACTTTTATATGATTTATTCTGCGCCTCAGAATGAAAAAGTGAATGAAGAAGTCATTTTGTATTATTGACGGCAAGTGACTGAAAAACTGATTCGATCGATGTGACATGTCATATAAAATAGCTTCTGTTCTCATTAACTTTTCGATTAATTATTATCTATGATATATTCAACTCTCTCAATATACTTTTGTCGTCTTTTATGACTTGCTGTTAATATACATCAAATTTAAATATATTTTTCCATTAGATTTTTTGACTCTAAACTACCTATTCAAATCTTATCAGTTAGAGATTCGTACTGCATATGGATGAATAAAATTTTGTCCGATTGCCTCGTAACATGAAAACAATCGATAACGCATATTTTCTTTTATAGAAATTTTATTACATTGTTCAGATATTCTCGTTAGCCTCACTTTTATTTCAAATATCCTATACGTAGTACACTCTAGACACGATGAAACTCATATTTCTATTATTACAGACTTTGATTAGACTGAACAGTATTCCAGTAAAATCCGGAAAACTAGGATCTACATGTCATACGATTTGATAAGATTGTATATTTGCTGTATTTTTCTAGAATTCACAAATAATATCCTACATTTTCTTGTCTTTACATCTTTTTCTTTGGTTTTTTGAAAGTAATATCATTCAAAGCTAAAATGTTCTTTTGATGATCATCCCATATGATATATATTCATCAATCTATTGTATTGAATTTCTTTCTCTTAGAATCTTATGTACCAAAATCAATATTATCTCGATCGGCACCCGATTGTGATGATGTCGTCAAATGTCAACAGAAATCTAAGAACTTTTATCGATTGTCTTCGTGGTATGAACAAATTTCGAATGTCTATATGAATGTCAATGAACTACAATTTATGAATTGGGGTTATGCAGATTTGGATGAGCATATTGATGACAATACTGGTTATTATTCGAAGAAACTCTATCAACAAGTAAGTGAAGACGAATGAAAGAATCAAATACATTTGAGTTGAAATGTTTCTGATATAGTATCATAGATAAATTTTTAATGTCTGAATTAATTAGTACGAATCTTAGTCATACCATAGTTTTCGTTACTTTACCATAAATATTCGATAAGTGATAGATAATAAGTTGATCGAAACTGAAGAATCCTTATGATGTCTTCGAAGTTTTCATTCATAATTCGTTAACACGAATAGCTAAAAATGAACTAGTTCTGTCTTAATCTACTTATGCATTTTTGAAAAAGAAGTGAGCACTGAATGAAAGAGAACATGTTAAATGCCTTACCAATCATTATCAGAATGCTTTATTTTTCATTCTAGGTTCTTGCTAATGTAACACTTACAGATAAAAGTATACTCGAAGTAGGTTGTGGTAGAGGTACTGGTGCTGCTTGGTGTGCTCGTACATATGCTCCTCGTTCTTATGTTGGAATGGATCCTTCTCAAGATGTCATTAATTTATGTCAACGACTTTATTCGACAACTCCTCGACTTTCCTTCGTGGTAGCTGATGCAACAAAACATTTACCATTTGCAAATGAATCAATTGATATTATTCTTTGTATTGAAACAACACATGCTTTCGACGAATCAATAGCAATCGCACAGTTTGCTAATGAAGTCACTCGTGTACTTCGTCCAAATGGATATCTTCTATGGTGTGATGTTTGTTACATGAATGGATCAGGTATATCAGTTTATGATTTGATAGCAAATGGCGAATTAATTATTGAAGAAAAGATTAATATTACAAGGAATGTTCTTCATGCACTTGATATTCAAAATGTGTCTCGTACTGATTTCATTCAACGTTATATTCAACCTGAAGAACAAGAATATTTTCGTCAGTTTGCTGGATTACCCGGTACTCAAGTTTATGAAGACATGAGCCAAGGACGTTCAGAATATTGGCGAGTTGTATTTCGAAAGAAGACAACAACAAATATGCCTATCATCTGAAAACACATTTTAACTTAATAGTACCAACACTTTTTATTTTTATCCTTACTTACTAATCTCATATTATTCAAT